GGGCCGGGCGAGTCGGCAAGGGGGAGCGGGATGGGCTGTCCTCCGACCCCTCCTCCTCGTCGGAGTGGTGCGGGCGAGGATGATGACGACCGCGGTAGTTTTCCTCGGACCCAGGAGGGGCGTCGGGAGGGGCGTCGTCAAAGAGGCGGGGCCGTCCCACGTGGTTGGGCGGCTCGGGAGCAATGCGGAGATCAAATGTTCACACCCCACGGCAGTGACCCACATAATTTACCAAAATAACTCTCATAAACTGACGCCTAGCATGATGATTACTAGAAATAAAATGTGGCTTTGGAGGGAGCCCCTATCACCTCCAAAGGCAAGGTTGAAGGGAACTAGGGCCGGTTATATGGAAAATATAGATGGTCATCCTCTAGAGAAGTTGGAGAATGGAACCATAGTCTGCTTTGGATTTTAACACTTTAATTGGACCACCAGCTAAGCTAAGTCCACACCCCACGGCAGTGATGTAAATCCGCTATGTTCTGTCATGAAATATATCCTGCAAATCTTTCACACTAGTTGAAACTTTACAGGTTGGCATCGTAATCTCAACCTTGGAATTTAGTACTACTAATTAGTTTTATGATATTAGGAAACACCATACTTCTGAAACAAACACCTAAAATGTCACGGGACGTGTAGTAATCTCCACATAAATCCCACTTATGTTCTGTCATGCAAATCCCCCTTATGTTCTGTCATGCAATGCAATATCATGCATATCTTCCATCCTACTTTAAACTTTACACATTGGCATCGCAATCCCAACCTGTAGAAAACACGATGCTTCCAAAACAAACACCTAAAAGGTCACCAGTCGTGTAGCAATGTCCACATAAATCCGATGTTCTAGAGAATTCAGAAGTGCGGATATATCACACCCAAAGCCGAACGCTTGGCTTCAGGTCTGATTGAACCAAATGTCACGGCAATGCCTAATTGAACTAAGCAAACAAAACCACTTTATTTCGATTTCTTGTGCCATCCGCAGATGTCTCAAAAGATAAAAAGGCGTGTACACTTTCTTCAGGCACCTGTTAAATAGTACTACTAACTACTCATGCAAACTGTACTTCCTGTTCATTTCCTCTCTTCTCGAGTCTACTACAAGTCCAACGAACCACCACCCCGGCCATGGCAACCACCCTTGCCACCGATGTCCGCCTCTCGGTCGCGCACCAGACCCGATTCGCCCTCCGCCTCGCCTCCGCCATCTCATCCGACCCCGAATCTGCTACCAGCAACGTCGCCTTCTCCCCGGTCTCACTCCATGTCGCGCTCAGCCTCATCACTGCCGGCGCTGGCGGCACCACCCGTGAGGCCGTGACCAGCTCGTAGCCATACTTGGGAACGAGAATGCAGGCGGGCCCGAGGGACTCCACTCGCTCGCCGAGCAGGTGGTGCAGTTAGTGCTTGCCGATGCGTCCATCACCGGCGGCCCGCGCGTCGCCTTCGCCAACGACGTTTTTGTAGACGCGTCGCTCTCGCTCAAGCCTTCCTTCCGGGAGCTCGCCATGTGCAACTATAAGTCCGAGGTGCAATCCGTGGACTTCCAGACTAAGGTTGATCACCTTCCTTTCACTGCTAGTTCAAAAAGTCTTAGTTTTGTTTCTGCATGTCTATATGTCGTTGTTACTCTGAACAGAGGTGGTAGTTTTGTTCTGATATGCTAGTAATGTAGAGATGGGTATCCTTTGACATTCTGCTAAATCTTTTCACCACTCTAGATCTTTAATTTACTGGTTTCCATGCAAATGCTTTTTAGAACGTTTACTTAATTAGATACAATTATGACGATCCAGCAGTGATGATTCGTTTAGGTATAAATTATAATTATGAAGATCTAATGGTCTTGACCTACTATTAGGTACAATTATGAAGGTCTAACTATCATGACATTTTAGGTATAATTATGAATATATAATGGCGGTGATATATTTAGGCATAATCATGATGATCTAAGGTCGTGATCTCTGTAGGGTACAGTTATGAAGATCTATTGATCATCATATATTTAGGTACAATTATGAAGTTCTAATTATCATGATTTGTTTAAATAGGTCATACATATGTATGCTTATTTAAAATTTTGCGATCCAATAATAATCAAATGGTCAACTAGATGAATGATCGGATGTTCTACTGTCATTTTTTAAATATCTAATTAAGTGATCTCTCGTTTTCACTTGTATTGTGCTTTTAGTATATAATTGATATTTTACTCGTTGTCCACATTTTTTTGATATTTTACTTTTTTGTAGGTTTTTTTCTCAATATTTTACTGGTAGGTACTTTGTCGGATCATTAGGAATGGCTAGGGCCTTTTTGTATATTTGAATATGCAATCCTTTTTCAAGTAGGGTGTGTTGCAAGACCTCTCATGGTGAGAAGTTGTGCCATGTTTCTTACGTGGCTTTCGTTGCCATCATGGGATTCTCTCGTCTCTTAGAAAATGCAAAAAAATAAATCAATAATTGGTAATAATCATGGAAAGATGAGTACTAGCTAGTATTACAAAGGAAATTGTAGATGCCATGACCATCTAACCGTTAATAGTGTTTCGGTCATCAGTTTTGTTTGTGACCTTTTTAATAGAAATTATGTATAAAAGATGCTGGTACACCGTCTTTGATTCTCTGTGCCATTGTTACCTTTTGTTCTTGTAATTTTGTTTGAAAATGAAATAGCATCTGGTTATTCAAAACTTTGGTCATGGTGGCACAACAGTATGTACAGTTTAACGTATTTTATTACACAATCTTATACTCCTCTACCCACAATATAAGAACGTTTTTTACACTAGTGTAGTGTTAAAAACGTTCTTATATTTTGGGACAGAGGGAGTACTTTCTTGGTTTCTATCATTCTAGAAACTGCAAGTAGATATTATTCTGATTTTGTTTTGCCAAGTGCTGATGTATTTTGCCATGGTCCAGGCTCCTGAAGTTGCTAGTCAAGTGAACTCTTGGGTAGAGAATGTCACAACAGGTCTCATCAGAGAGATCCTCCCTGAAGGGTCTATTGACTACAACACTAGACTGGTTCTTGGTAATGCCCTTTATTTCAAAGGACTTTGGAATGAGAAATTTGACGAATCTAAGACAAAATACGACAAGTTCCACCTTTTAAATGGGAACACTGTTCAAACACCATTCATGTCCAGTACAAATAAGCAATACATTTCATCTTCCGACGGCTTGAAGGTACTTAAGCTTCCATATCAGAAAGGTGGAGACAATAGGCAATTCTCCATGTACATTCTTCTTCCGGAAAGACTTGATGGTCTCTGGACCTTAGCCAATAGGTTGAGCACTGAATCAGAGTTCATCGAGAAGCATATACCAACGGAGAAAGTTGTAGTTCAGCAGTTCATGCCGCCAAAGTTCAAGATATCATTTGGATTTGAAGCAACCAATTTGCTCAAGAGTTTGGGTCTTCAGTTGCCATTTAGCAAAGAGGCAAACCTTTCAGAGATGGTGAATTCTCAGGTGGGCCTATTCCTCTCATCTGTTTTCCACAAGTCATTTGTCAAAGTGAACGAGCAAGGAACTGAGGCTGCAGCGGCAACTAGTGTAGCGATCGAACAACAACAGATGCCCATTGTGATGGACTTCATTGCAGATCACCCTTTCCTCTTCCTTATCCGAGAAGACGTCACTAGTGTGGTTCTCTTCATCGGTCATGTGGCAAATCCCCTCATGTCTTCATAATATGTTTGCCCTAAATATGTGTGTTGGCAGTTGCCTCAACTATTACATGTAAGGGAAGGGTTTCAATTCTAATAAGGTTGCTTGTGCAATCAATCCAATAAATGGTTCTGCTTTTCAAAATGTCTTGCTTGTTGTGCGACGTATGCAGAAGTGTGGTAATCAAGAATTATGTGGAGCCTTGTGCTTTGAGTTACTTAATAGATTAGTTAAGCATCCTGGTGAAATTCTTCTTGACTAAGTATGAAATGGTCTTCGCATAAATTAAGATCAATCGGGGTTGGTTTGGAAATGCTTTATTCAAGGACTAGTTGCAACCGGTTGATGGCCTTTGACATGATTTGCATGATTGATATCATACAAGCTCTATTTCTATGCATATTGTTTGATCATTGTGCTATCATCCATTAGGGTAGTTGATGGTAATATGTATATCCAAACAATAGTTATTTATCCCTATGAAGGTAATATTTTTTTTCTCGCATATTTGTACCATCCACATAGTTCAAGATACAAGAGGAACTATAGGAGATGGCGTGCACAATCAGTAGGTAGCTGCTACTGTGTAACAGTCATGAGTCAATTGATAGTTACCTAGCATAAATGTTGGGCGTTGTTCGGGGCACAATCCATTGAAGAGGATATCGCAAGCTTGAGCGTTGTATTGCAGCATTTTCAACTCTTCCGCGGTTGCTTCATGATTTGGTTCTCTCCCATCAAAGAATTCACCTTGCAAACCAATACATACAATAGCCCAAACGGCGGGGTTATGTCCAAAAATATGCATTTTCATCTTATGCTTCCAACTAGCAGAATTAGTACCATCAAAGTAAGGACCTCTAGGGTGGTAATTTTCCTCGCTAGATGTCATACTCTTCTAGGTTGTGAAACCAAGGCTATGATCACCAAAGCTATGGAAATTAAGGAAAATGGAGACCAAAGCTCTGATACCACTTGTAGGATCGGAAGTATGTCTAGAGGGGGTGATTAGACTACTTGGCCAAATAAAAATCTAGCATTTTCCCAATTTTAAGTCTTGGCCGATTTTAGCAACTTAACACAAGTCAAGCAATCAACCTACACATGCAATTCTAAGAGTATAGCAGCGGAATGTAAATCATTGCATATGAAGGTAAATGGGAGGAGCTTGGAGGGAGCAAACACAATGTAGACACAGAGATTTTTGGCGTGGTTCCGATAGATGGTGCTATCGTACATCCACGTTGATGGAGACTTCAACCCACGAAGGGTAACGGTTGCGCGAGTCCATGGAGGGCTCCACCCATGAAGGGTCCACCAAGAAGCAACCTTGTCTATCCCACCATGGTCATCGCCCACGAAGGACTTGCCTCACTTGGGTAGATCTTCACGAAGTACGTGATCTCCTTACCCTTACAAACTCCTTGGTTCAACTCCATAATCTTGTCGGAGGCTCCCAAGTGACACCTAACCAATCTAGGAGACACCACTCTCCAAAAGGTAATAGATGGTGCGTTGATAATGAACTCCTTGCTCTTGTGCTTCAAATGATAGTCTCCCCAACACTCAACTCTCTCTCACAGATTTGGATATGGTGGAAAGATGATTTGAGTGGAAAGCAACTTGGGGAAGGGTAGAGATCAAGATTCTTGTGGTTGGATTGGAATGTCTTGGTCTCAACACATGAGTAGGTGGTTCTCTCTTAGAAAATGAGTAGTGTAAGTGTAGGCACGTTCTGATGGCCCTCTTAAATGGAGAAGGGGGTGGAGGGGTATATATAGCCTCCACACAAAATCTAACCGTTACACACAATTAACCAAACTCAGTAGGACTGAATAGTGAAACTCGGTGAGACCAACCTGGTTCAAAATGTGAATGTTAGGCTTTTCGGTGCGACCGACAATATCAACTTGGTGAGACCGATGCACTAGGGTTAGGGAAAAACCTCATCTCGGTGAGACCGATCACATGAACTTATGAGACCGATTTCAGTAATAAGCAAACAGTGACTTGGTCAGGCAAAGTCGGTGGGACCAATCGCTCATTCCGATGAGACCGAAACATTACGGAAAGGAAACAGAGAGTTTGCACTGCAAACTCGGTGGGACCGATCGCCCATTTCGGTGAGACCGAAACATTATGAATGGAAACAAAGAGTTTGCAATCCCATCTCGGTGAGACCGAGATCCCTATCGGTGAGACCGAACTGATTAGGGTTTCTGGATATGGCTATGTCAAGTGAACTCGGTGGCGCCGGATAGATCAAATCAGTGGGGCCAATTTTGACTTTTAGGTTTAGACATGTGTGGAAATGAGAAAGTGGTGAGGCCTTTTGGAGCATATCACTAAGCATTTTGGGCGAGCAAGCCATTAAGAAACACCTCATCCCATTTTAATAGTATTGGCTTTTCCTATGGACTCATTGTGATCTTGGATCACTAAAATGAAGATATAGAGTCTTGAGCTTTTGCCAATATGTGTCCTTAGCATTTTGAGGGGTCCACATCTCTAGTCCATGCCATACCAATCATTGAACTTTCTGAAACATTAATCTTGAAAGAATATTAGTTCAATGAGCTATATGTTGTTATGAATTACTAAAACCACCCAGGGATTAGTTCACTTTCACGAGCGCCCGGTGGTCCTCCGCGCAGAAGGTGTGGTTCTGAAGCCGGATGCCCATGTTCTCCAAGTGGAGGTACACGTACACCGGGATCGGCTGGCCTTGCCGCTGCCAACGTGGTCGTCGTCGTAGCGGACGATGTTGCTCTCGAGCATGCTCACGTGGTGGGGGCATTAGTGACGGGTGTCATTTACCGCGAACGGTGGGAGGAAACTGTCGTGGCACAGCCGGTAGCTGTAAGATTCATGTAGTGCGATGGACGACGATGGATGCGTTCATGCCGGGAAGCCAGAAAACTGACGTCAGATTTTTATCAATATCGCTAATTGTTTTCATTTATATATTACTGGAAAAAGGCAACGGTAAGGACATGTAATATTTCTTGCTCACTTTATCTACTTGTAAGTTGCCTAAAATTTCAATTTGGCTCAGTCGATTTCTTGGCCGTTGATTTTTGCTCTAAGATTCGTGTTGCACTTTTTTTCTGGCATGTGATGTTTGTTGTGTTGGATTTTTGTTTACCGAAGCCATATTTGGGTTAGTCGATTTGCTACTGGGCAAAAGCCCATTAACTGTGCGATCCAACCCTCATCTCTCTCCCTTTGTTCTTTTATGTTTTATGTTTTTATGTGTTCTTGTTTTTGTTTTCTTTGTTAGTTAGTTTTTATTTCTTTTGTTAGTATTTTGGGATGTTAGGTGAGTATAAATTGTTGGGGAATGTAGTAATTTCAAAAAAAATCCTACGCACACGCAAGATCATGGTGATGCATAGCAAGGAGAGGGGAGAGTGTATCCACGTACCCTCGTAGACCGAAAGCGTAAGCATTAGAACAACGCGGTTGATGTAGTCGTACGTCTTCACGGCCTGACCGATCAAGCACCGAAATTACGGCACCTCCAAGTTCTAGCACACGTTCAGCTCGATGACGTCCCTCGATCTCCGATCCAGCCGAGTGTCGAGGGAGAGTTCCGTCAGCACGACGGCGTGGTGATGATCTTGAGGCCAATTCTTTTGGGCGATTCTCCCAGAATCACCCCCCTCCTCAGCTTCTCCCAAAGTCGTCACTCTATATTTTTTTACAATCCTAGTTAATTAGAGTTTAACTAAATAGGATTGCAAAAAAAATAAAGTGGCGATTCTGCGAGAAGTTGGGGAGGGGGCGATTCTGGGAGAATCGCCCAAAAGACCTGGGCCTTGATGTTCTACTGTCGCAGGGCTTCGCCTAAGCACCGCTACAATATTATCGAGGAGGACTGTGGTGGAGGGGGGCACCGCACACGGCTAAGAGATCAATGATCAATTGTTGTGTCTAGAGGTGCCCCCCTGCCCCCGTATATAAAGGAGCAAGGGGGAGGGGTCGGTCGGCCAGGAGGGGCGCGCCAGGAGGAGTCCTCCTCCCACCGGGAGTAGGACTCCCCCCTTCCTTGTTGGAGTAGGAGAGGAGAGGGAAGGAGAGAGAGGGGGAAAGGAAAGGGGGGACGCCGCCCCCCCCCCTCCTTGTCCAATTCGAACTTGGGGGAAGGGGCGCGCGGCTGCCCCTTGGCCGCCTCTCCTCTTCCACCACTTGGTCCCATGAGGCCCATTAACCTCCGGGGGGGTTCCGATAACCCCTCGGTACTCCGGTATATATCTGATAACCCCCGAAACCATTCCGGTGTCCGAATATAGTCGTCCAATATATGAATCTTCATGTCTCGACCATTTCGAGACTCCTTGTCATGTCCGTGAACACATCCGGGACTCCGAACAACCTTCGGTACATCAAAACTCATAAACTCATAATATAACTGTCATCGAAACCTTAAGCGTGCAGACCCTACGGGTTCGAGAACTATGTAGACATGATTGAGACATGTTTCCGGTCAATAACCAATAGCGGAACCTGGATGCTCATATTGGCTCCTACATATTCTACGAAGATCTTTATCGGTCAGACCGCATAACAACATATGTTGTTCCCTTTGTCATCGGTATGTTACTTGCCTGAGATTCGATCGTCGGTATCCAATACCTAGTTCAAGTCTCTTTACTCGTTACGTAATGCATCATTCCGTAACTAACTCATTAGCTACATTGCTTGCAAGGCTTATAGTGATGTGCATTACCGAGAGGGCCCAAAGATGCCTCTCCGATAGTCGGAGTGACAAATCCTAATCTCGAAATACGCCAACCCAACATGTACCTTTGGAGACACCTGTAGAGCTCCTTTATAATCACCCAGTTACGTTGTGATGTTTGGTAGCACACAAAGTGTTCCTCCGGTAAACGGGAGTTGCATAATCTCATAGTTGTAGGAACATGTATAAGTCATGAAGAAAGCAATAGCAACATACTAAATGATCAAGTGCTAAGCTAACGGAATGGGTCAAGTCAATCACATCATTCTCTCAATGATGTGAT